ATATTATTTTTATAATTAGACTCTTGGTTGATATTGACACAATAGGTACGTATGTGTTTTAGCCTTTTTAGTTGTTCTATCTCTGAACGGAATTCCCAAAAGCTCTAAAACACTAACTGTGTGTTAATTTAAGAGTAAATTGACTGTTAAACTTCATTCTCTAAATTAATAAATAGTACCCAAAATTAGGGGATGATTTTTTTGTTGAGAGATACTTAAAAATTATTATGATGTTATTTTTAAAACAAGAACATAAATTTTGAACAAGCTTTTGGATTTATTTTACCTTAATCTATTTCACTGATTTCCGGAAGTTTGAATTCTAAGAGGACAAAAATATGGAAGGCCATTATTTTAGAAATAAAAAAGGCTTGTTTCCTTATGATTAATAAATAACTCGGTGACAAATAATTAAAATAGTATTAAATATAAGATCTAAACGAAGGGCTCTAGGCCATGTAGTAGGTTGCCTCGGTGGTGTAGTGGCTATACCTATGGTACTATACCTATCTGTTTGAAATCGAGTGCCGCGTGCATTCACAAAAGCTAAACTACAATCGTAATGTACGAGTATTTATGTATATGCGTAAAGAAGTTTAAAATGAAAAGACCACACTATTTTCATATTTTATCTTTTTACGAGAGCAAAATTGTGGGATGGCCAAAGATGTCAGTATAGCAAGCATATTATGCATCTAATATATTTAAACGAGCAATTCTTGTATATATATTTATATATATACAAGAATTGTATGTATATAATCTGAATTTCGGAAACGGCTCCAACGATTTTAATGAAATTTAGTATACAAGGGGTTTCGGGGGCGATAAATCGATCTAGATTAGTATTATGTCTGGTAAAATGCGTGTTTTCGAGTTTTCATGCGGTTTTACATAAGCATCGTGGTCAAGCGGCCAAGGCGCAAGTTTGACAAGTGACAACCACAGGTGTCTGGATTCGTATCCCGGTCGGATACAAAGGTTTACTTTCGTTTTTTTTGTATTATTCAAATTTTTAGTTTGTTTTTTAAATGTTTTACTGGTCAAAAACTCCGAGCTAAGCTCGGTAGCCCAGGTACTAAAATCTTACCCAAGTCGTGCACCGTTTTGTCGTAGATATCTTTATACTAATATCACAAAATACAAAGAGGTAAAATATGTAGGTTTGTATGCAAGGGGTAATTTCTAAAACTAGTGATCTGATTTTGATAAATATTTTACTAATAAGAAGCTTTATTACTGCCAAGGCCATTTTCTATTTCAATGTAAATGTGTTTACTGAAGAAATATAATAACTTTATTGAAATCGGAAGAAATTGCCGTTGAGTTACTTTATTAGCTATTGTCAGGCACCCAGGTCGAGCGAAGCGGATAAATCACTAGTCTACGCTACTATTATAAAGAGGAAAGATTTGTATTTTTGTATGTTTGTAACGAATAAACTCAAAAACTATTACAACCGGTTTAGATAAAATTTGGTAAGAAGATAGTTTGAGACCCTGGAAAGGAAATAAGATATTTTTAATTCCGGAAATCATCCCTTAAATGGGTGAAAATGGGGATGAAAGTTTGTATGGGGAATCAACCTAGGGACGGACCCGAGCGAAATGAGGGTGAATCGCTAGTACACTATAAAAATGCAGGCCATTCAGAATCTTTTAGGGCTAAGTTAAAAAGTGCTTTCTGAGCTAAGTTACAAACATTTGATTTCTCAATTATAAAACGGCAATATAAAATAGTTGCTAGGTAGAAAATATACCTATGTATGATAGAATTTGTAGGGCCAAATAATCGATTAAGCTAAGTTCCGGAACCCGAGCCAAGGTACACGAGGCAGCGTAGGGACACCGCCGTAAGCCATAAAACATTCAATGTATATATATATATATATATATATATATATATATATATATATATATATATATATATACACATTATACATAGTTTGTCGATCTCTATATAATGATGAATAAAACTTGGCATGGTTTAAATGAATAAAATATCTATTGCGAGTGTACCTTGGAGATAGACAAATGCTATCACGTACTTTACTGTAAGCCATTTTAGGACCTGTAATTTTCGACCGAGTTCAAAAAAGAGGAGGTGCTCAAATCGGCTGTATTTTTTATGTTTGTTACTTCAGGACTCAGTCACTTATTAACCGAATTGGATTATTTTTGTTTTGTTTGAAAGTGTACCTACCTATACAATTTGGTCCCATTTTAATAAAAAAGAGATCTACTCCTAAGGGTGCAAAAAATAGCTAATTTAACCTACTAATTGTCGTATTGACTTGACATTTTGCAAGGGTTTCTATTTCCATTGATAGTGCAGTATTTCTGTATCTTCGAGCGGATCTGATGGTAAGGCCAGAAGGTGGATAGGTGGAACACTTCAACGGGTAATAGTTGATACTTTGAGTTTGGGCTTATTTTGTTTGATTTGACAAGACGTTAGAATTGGATTTTAGAGCCAGATTTTTTTAGTGTTACTAAAAAAAGCTATATCTACAAATAACCAAGCGCTAACATACTTAGGGCCTTTTTTTTAATTTTCGGAAATGCATTTACGCATTCCCTAGTCCCTACCACGAACGCACATTGTTGGGGGGTATATCTTAGGGCCTAACTACGTCAGCGTCTTATACCAATTTTTAAATACACCCGAAGCAGGATAAAACGGTTAGTTTCAAATTAAAAGAATAAATCAACAAACTAAGAAAAAAATTCCACATTTATATTATAAGTGAAAATAAGAAAAAAAACGTTTATTTGTCAGGACTTATCTTGGAATATATTTGTAGTATTTTTACACGAAGGTGGAGGACGTAGGTTTCTTTTTGCGACAGTTGGCAGTGTGGGTGAAGAGCGAGATGATTTGTTACGTTGAGTTTTAATGATCTAATTTAGTTACATAAAATGAGGAAGACTCTTATTAAATGGGAGCTTATTTGTAAAAGGAAAACATAAAAGGAAAATATAGGTACATATATTTTAATTACTATTTTATCTTGTAGATTATTTTTAGAAATATAATTTGCTTACAGTAAACACATATTTTTCGTCTAGGTCCATACATATCTATTTACTCGATGCTAAGTAATAGACTCTAATAAGCTTACTTGTATAGATAATTATTATAAGTTATTTGGAGATCTTTCTCGTGTTGTTTAGGAGAAACTATCTTAAATTTTACAAATTAATAAAATTGAAGTGTCTCTTGTATTGTCAAAATAACAGCTTTTTACTAAATGTATATGAATAATACGATACTTATAAGAAATAAATTATTTAAAAAAAAATTGTCTCTCTGTCTGTCTGTTTGTTCCCGCTTATATCAGAAACGGCTGATAGCAACTGACCTCCGGGGTACAGGACTCTAATAAAAATGGCATTAAATTAAAACGAAATTGCAAAGTTATTATCACGGTAACTGACTTGTTCATACAGAGGGCTGTAATCTGATGAAATTAATCGCGTCATTTGTTGTGCTGTTTATAACAACTATGTATATCTTGACTGTTGCATGAGACGTCTAAAACCTTAGTCTCTCCCGTGACTATGATTGCTGTAAAGCATTCGTAAAGACGGGGACCAAAAATCAAAATAAATCTGCGAAAATAATCTGAACTTAATAAATCGTAAAGATATTTTTTATCGTACAAATAATATAAAAAAGCTCCCGAAACTTATTCTTGTTGAAATACCCTAATAGATTATTATTAGTTCTGTAGAGCTCAAAATTGTTGGTAAATATTGAGGAGAACTAAATAATTACAAAAGCTAATACAAACTAGAAAACTCTTAGACAAAGGTTAAACGGAAAATAGAGCTTATAAGGACAATATAATTAGATGTTAGGCTAACATAAATGAAATGTATATAGTATTTTATTTATATGTAGCAAATATACTCCACAAATATTACTAATTAGCGACTGACCCTCACTTTACTCGGGTTCGTCTCTAGTGAAAAACAAATCTATCCCACGGAAACCGTACATATTTTCAGGATAAAAAGTAACCTATATGCTATTCCAGACTATAATCTATCTCTGTGCCAAATTTGATCTATATCCGTTCAGCCGTTCTGGCGTTATTGAGTAACAAACTTTCGCATTTATGATAGTAATGGGATTTATTCATAAGAGAAATAAAGCATCGTCATCAACATAGCTTAATTTATCAAATTTTTATGATAAATACAAATTAGAGATTAATCTAACATAAAAGAAATGTAAATTTATCTATACGTAGCAAATATACCCCGCAAATATTACTAATTTATCCATAACAGTAATAAAACATCTCGTCATTAACGAAGTTTAATTTATTAAACTTTTTATGATAAACATAAATGTGAATGTCCCTTATAAAAATTTCGATATTCGTCAAGTCAAAGACACTGTTCTCACTGTTCGACTGAGCACGTGGCTGTCTGTGGCGTAAGAAGCTGCGAGCTCTACAAATTTATAAGTTAATGTAATAAAACAGCGTTGTTCCACTCAACGCTATCTAGTGGAAGCTACTCTGTGTGTAATTTAGGCGTGTTGCGTCACGCTGCACCGCCATCTTGTGACTTGACCTACCCTCACTAGGAAACTTTTGACTGCATTTGCACGTTTGATTACTCCAGTCTATAATGTTTGGGAGTATTATTTTGGTTCCGTTACGTTAGATTAAATGGGCTGGAATTAAATTACTATGAACTATAAACAGAACTCTACATTTATATGTACTGTAATTTAAGCGTTTTCCTGCATTACATGAAATAAAATATACTTATTAAAACTTTTATTCACTTGTAATAATATTTTATATCGTAATTGTACGTGAAATTACTACACCAAAACAAATTTAAAAACGACCACGTGATCTCAGCTTAGCCTATTATGTAAATATTTTAGACGTCAATGCTCAAATAAGATACCACTTTACCTTAATAGTTGAAGCGTCGTTTTTTCAAAACTTTTTCGTTACGAACTTGAAGTTTTTAAGTTTATGTAGAGCTTTCGGAGTCGCGTGCTATCACAAGTCCGTGGGAAAGGGCTCTACCTCGTGACATAGTTTGGATGCAGCGCGCGTGCTTACAGCGGAAGTATAATGCGATTATCGATTTGCTTATGACAGAAAATGCGTTGAATGGACAAGGTTCGCAAGAGGCGCGGTGGGGACCGGGGTGCGGGGCGCTCGCGGCGGACATGCCGCCTCGTCTAGTGATGCTTGTTGTTAACATCGATAGTAAACAAGTTGGATAAGTTCTCACGACACCTAACTTAGTTCACAAATTTCAATATTTATTTAATTTTTTCTTGTATAATACATAATGAGTATAATTTTAGCCTCTATTAAATACGTGTGTGATAAAAAAAAATATTTTGATAAATTATTCAGTTAAAATTTAGCCAGAAGAAAAAAAGTATCTAAAACCGAAATCTAAAATAAAAAAATTAAGTAATTTTAGAACTTTAAAAATATTACTTTTCTATTAAGTACCAAAAACATCACTCAATTTAAAACTTCATTTTATAAAAATATATAGAGTCAAATTTTAAGTTTTTTTTAACATGAAAAATGTAATTTTCATAAATATTATAATTTCCCTATTATTAATGAAAGCCTCTTGACGAAACTTGCATTCCAGCGTCTATCGACACGCGGGCGGGCCTAGCTCTACCAGCGGCGTCAGTGCGCCGGAGGCAGCGGGCTGCGTCGTTCGTGTCCGCAGCCCGCTTCGTAACGCGAGTGTGCAAATGATTTTGTTTTTATGGCGTTCATATATCAGGTACTACGAGTGATCGTGCTGGGAGTGATCGCGGCGGCCGTTGATGGTTAGTGCTTTTATTATACCACGTGGTCACCTCGTAGTGTTTACGATGGCAAACGCATGCGCTTGCTTGCCTCGGGTCAAACACCGGCCTAACCTACGAAGCCTCTATACGTAATTATGACCGCCAAGACGGTAAGTTTTTGAACATGCAGTCGCAGAATCCCCAATCGAGCCCTACGAACCTCTCTACATAGCTATTCGGTTAGTACGTTGTTTACAGATTTTGTAATGTTAAAGTAAAAAGAAGAGTTCCATTCAGAAGTAGAAACCAGATATGTGGAACATAGCAAAAAATCTATACATAATCAATGAATACGGCTGTGTCGGTGTAAAATTAAAATGATACGCAATCAAAACATGAATTGTGTCCTTGTGGACGTATCGAACGGATACGATCGGTGTTTAGACCCGTTCAGATTACTATGCTCGCTACATACCTACCACGGTAGACCACAGGCGACAGACTACACACTTACACCTCGCTTGTTTGTGAAGCGGTTTCTTATAAGAAATCAAACAAACTCACGTTATTTATTACGCAATAAGAATACCATTCATAATCACAGCAACAAAACTCTAGGTAGAGTCTTCTAAGAATGTGTATACTTAACCTTTAACAACTAACTTTACAAACAATTCGGTAACATTTAAAATTGCCAAAAAATAAAAACAAAGATCATACAATCAAACAGGTTAAGTTATCAAGTTGACAATAATTAAGAAGCAAATGCGAATAAATTATAAGTGTTATATAAGTCTTATCAACATTAAATTTATTTGTATATATACTTATTATGTATATGACTCAAAATACTGTTCACTATAAAAATAATTTTAAAAGCTATAGTATACCCATTTAGATATGTTTTTAATTTAAAAGACGTTCTTTTAGTTATTATCTAATATCATTTTTTTTATTTTTTCAAAGTTTGTTATATTTGAAGATCAATGGTTATATATAACAAATGTTATGCAGTCAAACTGTATATACTTTACATATAATAAAAAATGAGATCATTTATCCTACAGAAGATGAAGGTGAATTCGATAAAGAAATTGACCTAAGATCATTTTCTATGTTTTTTGTTATCAAAATCTTGAGGTTACGGCAGGGTATCACGACGTATTTACTACGTAAGTAGAGTCGCGGGTAAAATCTTATTATAAATAAAAATATATCGCTTGGGCAGGTGTAAATAAAATATAAAAAGTATTATTACAAAGTAAATAGTAAATAGATACTTAAAAGAAAACCAAAAACCTTAACTTATTCAACAACATTTGCACAATTTGTTAAATTTATCTGTAATAACTGATTGTTTTTACGCAATAACTTGTATCTTGTGTTTCTATACTTCTTTGTTTCAATTTCCATTTTTCTTCAAAATAGAAGAGTCGTCGACTTACTTCAAATTAACTAAAGAAAGTTCAATATAATGAGTATATAACTATCTATGAATGAGTAAAATTAGCTATTTTGATCCAGAAATGACACAAAACTAACAAATAAAACGAATAAATTGTATAGAAATTTTATAATACTGATTATAACAACCTTTAAAATAATCCAATCCATATTGAATAACATTTTCCATTGATACTATAAATTAGATATTAGAAATAGAATTGTAGGCTTATTTAATGATATTTGATTTTAGTAATGGATCAGCAAAGCAGTGGTAACTCAGTGGTAACGTGGTCTCGGGAAACTGAGTGAAGCGGACTCAAATCCCGATATATAGCCTTTGATATTTTCATTTGCGAATCATTTCCAACATGATTATCACTTGTCATATGGTGATGGAAAAAATCGTAAGGAAATCTGCTTGTCTGAGTAAATCTGGCAAGTTTCCGAAAGAGATGCTCAGTCCGCCCGCAATTGGCCAGCGTGGTGGACTATAGCTTGATACCCCTCGTATTGAAGGGAGGCCCGTGCCCAGCAGAGAATGTAATAGATTAGCAATACTTCTTGAAAATAAATTCATTTAGGGGAATAAAACTACCTCGGTCACCTTGAGTCGAGAGCTAGTGCCAAGCTCTACATATCTAATTATGTCATATTAAATTATCTGAACGTCTGTGTAGAATTTATTAGTTTATGCTTTCGATAATTAAGCCATAATACTAAAATATACACAGGTATAGTGTTTTATATATTGTATTAAAATAGTATATTAAAATAATAATTTTATGTGGGAAATTATTGATTGATATCACTTTTATATTGATTTTTAGTCTTAAAATTTACATAGATTCTTATCAATCTTTTAGTCAATACATAGATAAAAACATAAAAACTAATAACTCAATTGTACATAGAAAAAACAAAAACAGTGTCTCGGTAGTTCGACCTAATAGTGTTGACAAACATCTTTGATGTACCTAAAAATTAAAAGATATATTAATTGTACTAAAAGAAATAGATGTTTCCATTCAACCAAAGTCTAATAAGAATGTAGGTGCTCATGCAAACGCTCAGCCTGTGAGTCCACACTGAACTACTATTATATAAAAATATTATTAACGTTTAATAAAGATTTCTCAGCGATGAGGTATTTTACTGCAGTAAAAAGTATCCTATATGTTGACCCAGACAACCAGCTATCATCGCATCAAATTTCATCAAAATCTGTCCAGTGGTTTTCACAGACAAAAATTCTAAATAGTCTAGATTCGGTCTCTGTATCGATAAAAATGACTATTTTAATAAGATTTTCCAAAAAATATTTATTGTACCGAATCGACTCAATTAGAATTTTATTATATGTTTAGATTTAAATTAAAAAAATTGTATCTGAATGAGTGATAGCATTAAACAAATCGTAAAGCATGGAAATAGGTGGTGTACTCAGAGATCGGCGGTGGCCGATGACAGGATAAATAAACGAATGCTCACATGTGACGCTAATTATTACAGCTTCCGAAGACTCTATCAACATAACTCTCGAACGAATTACACATTTTCCACTCTTAGGTAGTTTTAATGAACTTGAAAAAGTTTAAAAAAATAATATACATATAATAAGTTTTGAATGTTTATTTAGAAGATATTATTTGTTTAGTAAGAAGCCGCTGTTTTAGCGAAAGGAATATTATAATTATATATATTAATAATTATATTAATATAAATTTTCTATACTGGATATATGAAAAAGTATCTATTCATTATTATGTTTTTTTTTTTAAATAAAACTCTATAATAAAATTATCAAGATGTAAAGTTTTGTGATTTGGAGGAATATAACAATCGGTGATATTAGATTTTTGTGAGTCATTAATAATTGTAGACGTCAATGATTTGCTGAAAGTGGCTTTTGAAATCAAAATAAACTGGTTTGGAATAGGTGGTCAGACTCCATACAAATCTTTACTAATATTATAAAGATGCAAAGTTTGTTTGTTTGTTTGAAAGCGTTAATCTCGGGTACTACTAATCCGATTTGAAAAATTATTTTTGCATTAGATAGCCCGTTTATTGAGGAAGGCTATAGGCTATATATAATCCCGGGAAAATATACGGTTTCCGTTAGATTTAGTTTTTGTTTAGGGACGAACGCGAATCGAAGCGAGAGCAAGTCGCTAGTATGTATATAAAACAATAAAATAATTAAAACAAAACATTCTTCCTTATAATCAATACCTATGTATGTGTAATGCATGATTCATACAAACAACATTTTGTTTTAAGCGCACATATTAATAATAAAATCAAACGATGTAACAAGTCTACTACTGGTCGTACATTCCTAAGATATTTCACACGATATTTCCTTTAACAGTTAACTTAATTACCTTATAGTTTTTAGTTCCACGTGTCATTAACGAAGCGATCTTAGACTATTCCTAACAAACCAGTTTATTTCTAAGAAAATGACGATTTTGTTTAGATTGTTAGAAAGATACTATCAAAAGCTTGTAATAGAATACTTTAACAATTACATTTAAACTTCATTTTGGATCTGATTCCGCCCTAGTTATGTTTGGACTACAATTTTTTAGTTATTTTGTTGTATTAAATATCGAGATTACTCTACTATCAATATTTTTATTTCGACGGATTTCCGTTGTAGTTATTGCTAGGCACTTAATATAAAATGTATAAGGCTTATATTAAGAAGAGCTTATAAGCTTAGATTAAAAATACAATGGAAAGTTTATTTTATATTATTTAATATAAAGAATTTAGAAATCTAAAGCGATCCGTTTAATATAATACAATCTAACAACAGAGCATGTATAAAATACATAAGGTTGGTACGATTTCGAAGATTTTATTGACATCCTCCTTCACTTTTAGTGAAGTACTTACCAACAGGATCTTATAGCAAACTATAGCAAATGCGTGCTCAGACCAATTTGTGTTTAGCAAACTATAAAAACCATCCTTGGGTAAGTAATAAATATTT